GGATGGACGTGCCTTCGAGGTCTCAGAGTGACCTTGGTGCTATTTTTAATGGAAAAATAAGATCACTTTGCAAGTAACCAGGGCAAATTTCATTCTACACGATTTTCGAAACGAACGCAATACGTTAGAAGATATTCGAGCGCGCCTCTTCAAATAGGACACCCGGTGTGCAGAGAAGTTGGCCATCCCCGGCGCAGAGGAGCATATGGTGCCAGGATTCGATATTAATTTCTTCGGCGCTGCCCCAACACTTCGATATTCAGCATCGAGGAGTCGATGAACTCCCGCGAGAAGGGTCAATCGATTCGAGAAACGTTGATCGACGACGAAAGAGTTTTACGCGCGATCGATTCATTCGAACCTTGACCTAGGACGTCCGGGATTCGACGAGGGCCTTGGGCAGTCCTCCGGCGAGAAGGCTATTAGGGTTTCGGGCGCGTTGCTCCTGGTTCTGGCGCGGCGACGTTTAAACTCGGACCGTGGTCGGATCTCGAAAAAAGAAAAGGAACGCTCGCAAAAAGGCAAAATAGCCGTCGGCTGGCGCGCACGCATCGTCGATTATTATATTATTAGAAACGGCTGGCTGTCTCTCTGTTCCCGATCGGCGACGGTACGCCCCGGTGCCCGAGTCACGATCGTCCGTATCTGGCCCGTGAATTTCGAACAGGATAGATCCTTGGAATTATGTATATCGCGGCGTTGCCTGCGCCGGCCGAATAATCGCCTAATTCGCCGGGAGAAGCGAGACGATAATTTAGCCATTCACGGTTCTTACGTGATTACGCGGTGATTACGAACGAATTTGAAATTGAAATGTGATCCGGAAATCTGAAAAATCGGCGCCTTATCTCGAAGCGTTATCTCGCATCGCTTTTGCGTTCGTCGGCGATCGTTAGAATAATCTTGACACAATTTCTCCGATAAAACGAGGCAATCTTTTTCTCTTCGCTTATTTCCGTTCATAGATTTCGATAACAGAAGAATTAGTTTTATCAATCGGTTTTGTAAGGAACGAATAGGGTAATTGCAGGTATTACTGCGGTTTCTCAACGAAGGCGAACTTTGACAGAGCAAATGAGCCAATAAATTGACAACTCGAGCTGTCAAGACGGAGAGAGAGAGAGAGGGAGAGTGAGAGGAGATGGGGGGTCCGGCGAGAAATTTCGCGCGGCATCAGCACTTTTCTTCCGCAGGAACAATTTGTACCCGTCGCTCCTTTGTATCCGCTCGTTTAGCGCGTCCTTTTTGCCGTTCGTCTTCCTGTCCCGCCGCGCGCATCGTTTTCTTAATGCCCTAGCGGCACCACCAACGTATCCCTTCTTTTTATTATTCGGCCCCGGCCCCGTCCTCCCCCGTTCTCCCCTCGTTCCGCCCGTCCGTCCCTTTGTCGTGTCTCCATCGACGACTGACCCTTGTTCCATTTGTTTCCTTTATTTTCCCCATTTTCTTCGCCGCTTTGTCTCTATCCCACGCGACCGCCGCTCGTGACCGGAAACGCAACGACCACGCCGTTCCGGAGAACACACGCGTCGACCGGAGAAAGCTTTTCCACGTTCGTGCTTTTTCCTTAGGTTCTTTGCGAGCAGTTTGTTCGCACGGAGGAAACGGAGGGAACGTTTTTTCTCTTCGGAAAACTTCCGGAGTACCGGCTGTTTGGGGCTCTTTGCGGTTCTTTGCGAGTCTTTGGGGATTTTTGCGGCTCTTTGCGGCTTTCTGCGGCTGATTCCAGCTCTTTGCGGCTCTTTGTGGCGATTAGCGACTCTTTGTGACTTTTTGCGGTGCTTAGCCGGTCTTTGCAGCTGTTTGCGGCGCTTAGCGAGTCTTCGCAACTTTTTTCGGCGCTTAGCGAGCCTTTGCGGCTCTTTGCGGCTCTTTGCGGCTCTTTGTGGCGCTTAGCAAGTCTTTGTGGCTTTTTGCGGCGCTTAGCGAGTCTTTGCGGCGCTTAGCAAGTCTTTGCCGCTTTTTGCGGTGCTTGGCGAGTCTTTGCGGCGCTCAGCGAGTCTTTGAGGAACTTTGCGGCTCTTTGCAGCTCTCTGCGACACTTAGCAAGTCTTTGTGGCTTTTTGCGGCGCTTAGCGAGTCTTTGCGGTTTTTTGCGGCGCTTAGCGAGTCTTTCTAAATCCGTGTAAAATGAAGACCAGCATGGCGCGCCATTACTCAGTTCCGTGCTTAAGTTGCACTTTGCAACTATAAAAATAAGACTCGAACAATTGTATCTCCTCTGTTCTTTTGGTCAACAACTTTCCAGGAAAAAAAACACGACGCGTGCGTGCGTGCGTGGAAAGCTGAGTCACTGCGCGCTCAAGTTCTCGCGATTCGCGCGAGTCCCACGGTGTTTTCTCGACGCGTTGGTCCTTGTCTCGGAGGATCCTGGCCACCTTGTCTCGCTACTTTTGACCGCGACGGCGCGGCGCGGCGGTTTCTCTCGACGTATTTTCTTCAATTCGACGATTCCCGCGACTCCTCGAGTCCCCGTGACCCCTTTTCGATCCCCCGTCCCGTCACTTTTACGACTTCGACGACGATGAATCATCTTCCAGGATCCCGAACGGCCGCGCGCGGCCCGCCGCACGGAGAAACGTCCAAGGAGACGAGACGCGCAAAATGACGGCAAAAAGACGAGCGGCGGCCGCCGCGCCGCGATGGAAGGAGAATCCGCTTAGAACTGCGGCCGCGGAGACAATGCCGCGCGACAAATGCGCCATGGCGCGCACAGTTTCCACGGGCATTTTTGTAATCGATACACAACCATTATCGTCGTTATTAACGTCGAAGGACGTGGCTTTACGCATCGGCGACCGCGACAACGAGCGGCCGAGCAACGAGCGCCCCGGCGAATTGATTCGACGACGCCAATGCGCGACGCGCCTAAGCGCATTCGAGAAAACCTATCGATTGTCCCTGAATGGATCGGCCGAGACGATCGAATCTCTCTCTCTCTCTCTCTCTCTCTCTCTCTCTCTCTGTTTCTCTCGGAAATCCTGCGAAGCGTAATCACGCAGCAACACGCGCGCCCGATCGCACACCGCCGCGCCGATTTTTTATCTCCCATGCCGCGGCGATTGCGATCCGCTCGAGCGACGGTCAGATGCGTTCTCTTTACGGCCGCAGCCGATTTAACGCGGTGCCCGCGATTCCGCAACGAGATCCTTGGGATCACCGAGGCCGCCAATCTACACCCCCGTTCGCGACAATTGTTTCTCTAAAACGTTTACCAATACCAGCGAACCGTCACGCGTGCTTCCGTCATTTTCGTCAAGACTGTTACGAATTCATTCGTCGGTGTGCCGGTTATGATTGTTGCAGCGCATCAATCTACATAGAATAATGTCTCTCGAATTGACGCTCGGATTGTCCAGAAAAATTGAATAAACTTGACAATTTGGGGAGAGGAGATACGATTATTCGAGCCCTGCGGCTCGTTTTTGTAATAATAATAATTATTATTTAATTGTACCTCTTCTTCCCAAATTGTCCATTTTTTGGGAACAATCTGAGCGTCAGTTAGGGAGACATTATTGTATTTCCCTTATATTCTCCCTCTTTATCCACCTTGTCGCCCTTTTTTCTCTTTTCTCTCTCTTTCTTCTTGCATATTTTCTTTATATTTATTTTCTTATATTTTTCTTACATATTTTCTTGCTTGCCTCTCGCATAATTTCCTTTCTATACTTTTATTTTATTCTATTTATATTAGTGGCTTTTTTATTTCTTACCTATTTATCGTCATTCTTGTTTCTTTTACAGGGTGTCCCAAAAATGTCTGGCAATTCGGAAGTAGGGGGTTCCTGAGGTCATTTCAAGTGAGTTTTTTTTTCCTTTACCAAAATGCAATCTGCGGTTTTGTTTGCGAGTTATTAGCGAAAAACAGTGACCAACGACAGGCGAGCTCGGCGGGCGCACTCGGACGGCCGAGCCAATCAGCGGAACTGGGAACTTAACTCCGCCTCGCGCTGGCTGAGCTCGCTTCTCATTGGTCACCGTTCTTCGTTAATAACTCGCGAACGAAGCGAGTCAGCCAATGAGCGCGCGGAGCACAGTTCCGCTCATTGGCTCGGCTGGTACGAGGTGGCTTAGTTTATTATACATTAAAATTAAATATTAAAGATTAAAAATTAGAAATTAGGAATTAGAGATTACAGATGAAGAATTAAAAATTAGAAATTAAAGATTAACAGTTAGAAATTAAAAATTAGGAATTAGAAATTAACGATTAGAAATTGGGAATTAAAAATTAAAACATAAAAATTGAAAATCAGGAATTGAAACTTAAAACTTAAAAATCGAAGATTGAAAATCATACTTAAATTTTAACTATCTTTCAAAAAGTGCAAGAGCTACACTGCGCAGAGTTAAAATATACCATACGACGAACTTCAGCCGTCCAATTTCGCTTTCATTAATTAAACGTCTTCGATATTGTGGGAATTTTTGCGATTGATATCCGGCGCTTGACGTGATAATCGATCCGGCGATTCGGCGAGCAACTTGCTAACGATCGAGTCCTGTTAGCCGACAGCCAGAATTCCCGTTCGATCGGTTGTCAAGTGATTTTGCCGGGTTCCATCAATAACGTATCGGGAGACAGATAAAAACCAAGACTCGTAGAGAAGGGAAGAGCGCCTCGCTCTCCTCAGAGCGAGCAAGAGAGAGAGAGAGAGAGAGAGAGAGAGAAAGACGAGAGGAAAAGAAAATGTGCAAGGAATTGCGCTTGAGGAACCGCTTCGCGGAGTGAAATTGCGGAGGACTTGGCCGGAGAGCCGCGCGGCGTGTGTCGGAGGCATATAAAATTGCAGCCGATCAAGCGGAATTGCGAGGCTGCGTCCGTGTTGCAGCTTGTGTTGCAGCTTGTCGCAGCGGAGAGTGCAGCGCGGCGGCAGCAGCAGCAGCAGCAGCGGCAGCGGTGTCGCCCACCTTGAAAACGAGAAGAAAGAGACACCGGCGCGCGGCGCATTCATCGGGCTCCTACGAATTAATCCTATTATAGCGGAAAGCCTCACCTTCGGCTGCCACATCATCGTCGTCTTCGTCTTCTTCGTCTTCGCGTTCGCCTTCGCCTTCGCCTTCGCCTTCGACGTTCGTTGGCGTCACCGTGTTCCTCTCCGTCGGACGCCGACGGGTTCCCTCGCAACGATCCCACACCGCGAAGCCGAAGCCTTTACGTAATATTAAGGAGGTTCCGTTTGTTTATGTAATCAGATCCCCCAGAAACCAGACGAGAGAAGTCCGACTAATCGACTTCTCGATTCGACGGCGATCGCGATCCGAGAGACTGCAACAGAAATTACGCTCGCTGTTAATATATTATAATTCTTCCTAATTCTCATTGAGCTTCGAGGGACAACAATGGAGAATTTTGGAAGAGAATATACTGTGACAACGATGATTGTAATTGTGGACCATCGGTAATTATAAAAATGAGCTGCGCGGCTCGGATGGTACAATGACTATTACATAAAATGACAACAGAATTATTATTTATTGATTGTTACATAAAGAACGCTCGTCCTTTAACTTTTCTGTTTGAACATGGACCGAAAATTTGATTAATTTAGATTAATGTTTAAATGCTGCGTTTCGCAGACCTAGGCGAATTATATGCATACTGAATATTTTATCGAAACTGGTTCACGTTATTAAAACGCAAGCGTTAATGAAGAGAGTTAAAGAAAAAAGTATGCCAGTCCCTGTACCATAAACTAGTCCCTCTAATACCAAAAAAGAGAAAGATTCAAGTCGATTAGACCAGTTTGAAACAAGTTATATCGCGTTTTAAACGGTGATCGAATACTATTTTGCCAGGGATACAGTAATGTTTCCCTAACTGACGCTCAGTTTGTGCAGAAAAATAGATAATTTCGGAAGAGAAGATACGATTATTCGAGCCGACTTGTTTTTATAATTGTAGACAATTTATAGCTATAAAAATAAACCACAAAGCTCGAATAATCGCATCTCCTTTTCCCCAATTGTCCATTTTTCTGGACAATCCGAGCGTCAGTTAGAGAGACATTATATATATATATATATATATGTATATGTATAAATAAACAGAAATTTTTCGAACAATCGTGGCTCGAAACGGTCGAGCCTCGAGAAACGTTCGGACCGACGGACTCGGCGGAACGAGAATTTCGAAGAAGAAGAAGAAGACGAAGCCCGCGAAGAAAACACCGCGGCGGAGCAACGAAACGATTATTGTATCGGGAAAGTTGTCCGGAAAGGGGCTGTGGAGGGGAGGGAGGGAAGCAGAATCGCTAATCGGATACTATCACCGTACGAGGAATGCGATAAATAATCGTCCGGTGGGAAGGGCGCCGTGGCCGGTCGGGCCTGCACTTTGCAGTTCGCAGTTTAGCGTTCGCGGTTTGCAGTTTGCGGGGAGCCAGAACCACGGAAATCAAACGGAATTCCACTCGCATTGCGTTACGCCGCATTCTCCGTGATCGGAGGCTCCTTGTACTTTCTAATTACGCGTTGGCTTCCCATTCGTCGTAAAGGTGGCTCGCAACGGACGAGCCGTGTCGCGATAACACGGCCCGATGCATTTTTCGTAACGAAGAGAACCGCCGCCGCATCGCCGCACCACCGCCGCACTACCGTCGCACCGCCGTCGCCGCACCACCGCCGCACTACCGTCGCACCACCGTCGCCTCGCCGCACTATCGTCGCACCGCCGTCTCCCCGCCGCACCGCCGTCGCACCGCCGTCGCCCCGCCGCACTACCGCCGTACCGCCGTCGCCCCGCCGCACCGCCGTCGCCGACCGATTGTTTCGCGAACGTGAATTTCACCTGGCGTGTAAGCGCCCTCGCCGCCTCGCCGCGCTCGTGAAATCGAGAATACCGGCCGATCCGATCCGAGCAATGCGCGAGCGCGAGCGCGGCTCTCCTCTCTCTCTCTCTCTCTCTTCCTCTCTCTACCGAGAACCGTGAATCATTCGGTTAACAGTCAATCATGTTAATTCGCTGTTCCGTATTAGCGAACGATATTAATTCACCTTGATTGCCTCTCTGACTCACGGCATGGGATTCGCGTTCTCGTCGCCGCAGGATTTCGAAATCCGTGTCCGTCTTTGCACCGTGAACCGCGCGCGATCGTCGACTGCGGGCCCCGGCGGTCTTCAGCGGACCCTTTTCAAGGTCGAGACAAAATCTTGCGACCAAGTTAGCGCATTATAAGCGATATGAACATGTACCAGAAAAACGCACGCTGAACATTTTCGTCGAAATCGCTTGTTACGAGCTACAAACAATTAAACATCTTTTTTTAATTGTCGCGTAATAAAGTGCAGAAGAATGTGGACCAAAACCCTCGAGAAATTTCGAGACCTCGTCATCACTTATCTCGATTTCCAGTATTCCGTTTCGCCGTTCCAACGAATCTCGATCTAAAAATCTAAAAATAATCCTCCTATAATCCGCAAAAAATTCGAATCTTCTGATCCAATTTTAGAGAAGTTCTCTCTCTTTCTCTCTACACTTTGATCCGCCTCTCCCGCCCCTCCCGAATCGTCTCCGCGTCTCCGCGTTCCGACGACGTTCAAAAGACCGTCGGTCGCGGAATCGAGCTACTCCGCGTCGCGGAAATAAAAACGTCGACGAGTGACGGGGGGCTCGCGGGTGCCGGCGGCGGTTCGCCGGCAAAGCCAAGGCTCGCCTGATATCATCCTCGAAGAAGCAAGGACTATTAATACCGGCAAAGAGAGCCGCTGGAAATATTCAAGCGCGTTGCGCATTCGAAGGGAGAGATAGGTTCGCCGCGGATCTAAGTACACATGGCCGAGCGCGGGCGCGCGCGCTCGCGAGCGCACACACGTCCCGCGTCCCCCGCACACGTACGTTCCCCCCGTGGCGCGCACTGTGTACAGAGAAGACCGTGTTTGCCCGGCGCGGAGATGAGAGAAGCGAGGAAAGGATGGAGGAAGATCCGTGCCACTCGGTCATTGGTGAACGTACCGTGCCGTACCGTGCCGTACCTCGCTGCATCGTATCCCCCTGCATCGCTGCATCCATTCCTCGAGCAGCAGCCACTTCGCACGGGACCCGAACGAAAAGAGAACCTCATCCTCCGTCGAGAGAGAGAGAGATTAGCTCGCCGCGCGCGACCCTGGCACCGAGGATCGGTCCTCACGACCCCGTCGGCGCTCGAATTTCTTAGCGAACCGTGCGAGATCTTCTTCGAAGCTCGCCACTTCGATGCAACGATGCAACAACCTTCGGATCGGAACGTTGACGCGTCCGCGAGTCGATCCTCGGCGGAACGAGACGAACGCGAAAGAGGGTTAAAAGCGCGTGGAAAGCAGGCTGGTGAATCACCACGATATCAGCGCGGTGTCACTTGACCCCCGGTGAGGCAAGTCGCCGCTTGCGAAACGCTCCGAGATATTTTATAAAACGTGAGAACCGCGGAGCCTTGAGTCTCCGATTACAAAATATTTTTCCGAGACGCGGCGAGAAGGGACGGGGACGGGAAGGGACGGGACCGGTCAGATCGAGGACTTTTCTGTTTGAAATCGGCCGCTGCGGGGAGAGAAGAGGGTAGGGAATAACTGTTCGTCACGTGCAACGTTCGCGAGGCTCGGCCATTAAGTCGAGCCCGCGCGCGTTCGCTCGTCTCCGCCGGGGCCCAAACTCGGGCCCGCATTAGAGGCCTCTCGGAGCCTGTTCGGTACCGGTAAGGTCAAAGGATATCACCTGGATGCCCCGCGTACACGCATCCGCGCGTCCCCGCCGCGAAAAATCGCCGAGCATCCGCTATACTTGACCTCTTACAGTAATCGCCGTGACAGTGCGCCGGCTGGCCGTCGCCGTTCCCGTCGCTGTCGCTCTATCCGCGCATGAAAACCGGAATCCCGAGAACAATTCTAAATCGTGACGCGTCGCGGACTTCGCTGGCTCGTCGATGATACAGAAGATTCTGCTTCGTGATTATCGCCGATGGAACGGAAAACCCTGTTCGTCGATAGTTGTCGATGGAACAGAAAATTCTGCTCGTCGAAGCTTGACGATGGCACAGATAATTCTACTAGGCGATGGAACAGAAAGTTCTGCTCGTCAAAGCTTGTCGATGGAACAGAAAATTCTGCTAGGCGATGGCACAGAAAATTCTGCTCGTCGAGGCTAGTCGATGGAGCAGAAAATTCAAACAAAAAACATCGCGGAAAATGGAGAACGAAGTGAACTTTCCGTCGAAGTCACCGGCGCGAGCGAAGAAGTTATCGAGGTTCTCTTCTTTGCTACTCAAACACCGAAGAGAAACTCTTCGAGCGTAGACGACGTGTCTCGAAAAAACCGTTTCAAACACTGCTCAACTCGCGCGCGCGCGCGCGAGAGAGAGAGAGAGAGAGAGAGAGAGAGAGAGAGAGAGAACACGCGAGATGGATCGTTGTTACGGACCGAGTTGGAGCATATTTAAAGAACTGTAACAATTTCATATCGGGTTTTCATGTTTATCGAATTTTTAAAGCTCAAAAAAGCTTGCGTACGAGTCGTCGACTCATTTAGGTGCAAGGGGTTAAGGGTGGTGCACGTTTTTCCCCCCGATAGGAAGAGCAATTTAACCATTGGTTCGACGAAGAATTTGCGAGTCGCTCGCTCGCTCGCGCGCGCGCCATTCGAATTGCCTCGAAATTCAGATTCCCGTATTCCCGTGTACGGCGAGGTCAAAGGATATCAACCGCGGTGCGCGCACATCCTGCCGACGGGAAGAACGCGGCTTTGGGTCCCGGTGAGTTGACCCCTGCCGGTAGTATCCTCTCTCTCCCCTCTCTCGTCTTTCTCGCCGACCCTGTCTCCCTCTCTTTCACTCTTTTTCACTCGCGCTCTGTCTCACGGTCTTTCTCTCTCTCTCTCTCTCTCTCTCTCTCTTTCTCTCTCTCTCTCCCGCTCTGTCTTTCTCTCCCGCTCTCCCTTTCTCTCTCTCTTTCTCTCCCGCTCTGTCTTTCTCTCCCGCTCTCCCTTTCTCTCTCTCTGTCTCTCCCGCTCTATCTTTCTCTCCCGCTCTCTCTCTCTCTCCCGCTCTTCCTCTCTTCCTCTCTCTTTCTCTCCCGCTCTCCCTATCTTTCTCCCTCGCTCTTCCTCTCCTGCTCTTTCTATCTCTCTTTCTACCTCTCTTTCTCTCTCTCTCTCTCTCTCTCTCTCTCTCTCTCGTCCTCTCTCCAACTACGATTCTCGGAGCCGCGAGCGTGGCCGTACGTGTACACGCTTAGAATCTAGGTAAAGCCGCGGCGCCGCGCCGCGCCGCGCCGCGCCGGTAGACCGTTAAGGTTCGA